CTGGGGTTCAGTCAGGATTCGCCATCCTATCTTCGCAAGAAGTGCTTGATTAAAATGCTCGAAACGACGAAAACCCATGCCTCCCTCATGTTTACTTCTATACATGTTCCGCCAGGAGACCCACCGGACCCTCGAGCGTCCCTCCTCAACCCCCCACCAGAATCGAGCCACATGCTTGTCCAGGAGACGACAGAGATACAGAGGCAGACGAAAACAGGACATCACATGGAGCGGCAGAGCTAGAGCAATAGATTTAATCAGGGTTTCTTTAGCTGTCGACGAAAGAGTCTTTCGCTTCCATCCTTGAAGACGTTCTAATAACTTCTCCTCCAGGTACCGGAACGTGGCCGTCTTGGATCTCAAAATCAAAGTTGGGAGACCAAGATACTTATCTTGCACCCCTACTGCTCCTACGCCTAGGATCTCCGCCAAGAACACCTGATCCGGCAAGGTAATGTTCTTACTAAAACACACCGCCGACTTCTCCAAATTCACCCTTTGACCGCTGAGCTCCTCATACTCATTTAGTACTTCGATCAGATTCTCACACTCATGTAGGGAACCCCGGAGGAACAAGTAAGAATCATCAGCAAAGAACAAATGGGATATGCAAGGAGCCCGGGGCGCTACATTAACCCCTGCCAGCCTCTTATCAGAGATGGCCTTACAGAGTAAAGCAGCAAACCCTTCTGTGCAAAGCACAAAGAGTAAGGGAGAAAGAGGGTCACCCTGGCGAAGACCACGAGAAGGTGCAAAGAAACCTGTTGGAGACCCATTAACGAGTACCGAAAAAGAAGTTGACTGTAAACATTCCCGAATCCAACCTCTCCAGACAGAGCTAAAACCCATTTTTTCCAAAACCGCCAGAAGAAAGGACCATTCAACTCTATCATAGGCCTTTTCCATGTCAACCTTTAGAGCCATGTAACCTTTCTTGCCTCGCGTTTTGATTTTCAAATAGTGCATTAGCTCATGCCCAATGAGGATATTATCCACTATCTGCCTTTCTCTGATAAAGGCATTCTGACCCTCCGAGACAACAGCAGGCAAGATCACAGCAAGTCTTTCCGCCATAATTTTAGTGATTATCTTATAAACGAACTGGCATAAGCTAATCGGACGAAGCTGACGCATGGATTCCACCTGATCGACTTTCGGGATCAGGGTCAACCAAGTGTGATTGAAACTCCGGAGCATCTTACTCGTGGCAAAGAAAGATCCCACCGCTGAAACCACTGACTCCCCAACAATCCCCCAAAAGGCTTTAAAAAACTTGCCCGTGAAACCGTCCGAGCCCGGCGCCTGCTTTGAGCCCATCGCAAAGACCATTTTGTGGATCTCAAAGGGGCTGACCTCAGCGGTTAGGGTAGCATTCATTTCTGGGGTCACATTGGAGGCAATGGGGAGCTCAGCCACACGCTCAGCCATATTATGAACTTGCGACTCCGAGGTGAAGAGAGATTGGTAAAAAAAATTGAGTCATTTTTTACCAGTCTATACCATATGGTATTGACTGGTATTGAAATAAGAGCATACCTATGGTATGAAAAGCATATCATGGTGGTATGAACAAACCAAGACTGTAGGATGGTTGAATACATGATAGTACAAGTATATTAACTATCATTTACGACTTTTAACAATGTGTACCACAAGATATCACCTCGTACCAGGGGTGGTATTGTGTGGTATTTTTTGGTCTTGTATTTTGTTCACTCAGAAATTTGTAGATCCAATAGATCATGACGAATTCGCTCCTTCTCTGCAAAAAATTTCAAAAACGAATTAAAAACGAAGAAGATACCATATGGTATGCAGTGGTACCGAGAGGCAATTTTTTTTTTCTTCCTAAAAAAATATTGAAAATGGATCTCATTTTGTAGAGCACAACGAACTCGTTCCATCTGTGCAAAAAAATTGAAATCCGAGTTTAAACGAAGAAGATATGAGCCGATTAAGAAAATAGGGAAAAATAAAAAGATCTTTAATTCTCCACCCTTACATCTGGATTTTCTGAATGAATGGTCCGGATTTAGTTATTGATGAGTGCATAACCATGAGTTATGCACCTTATCTCGAGCCCTTATTACCACATAATTTATTCCATCGCTTCCATATTCCTTCTTAATTTCTTATTTTTTATAATATTTTGGCTGATATTATTATTTTTTGGATAAGATTGATATAGGTTTCAATTTGTGATTAAGGTACTACTTAAAAGATTTGAACTTGAGACCTCTAGGTTCTAGACTAATGGTATTACCACTAGGCCAAGCTCTTGTTCGTATATTATTTTTTAGAGAAGTCGATTACTCGATTTCAAATAATCGAATAGTCGATTACTCGATTATTTAAAATCGAGAATCCACTTCTCTAAAATCCATTGCTTTTGTCCTCAAATCATGGAAACAAATATTATTAACTTAATAAATCTTAAAGAAGTTGGCAACCTATTGGAATTTTTTTGGCAATTAAAGCCCCAACTCTAATTAATTAATTAATCATTATGTGAGACCTTAGTACGTGAGCTTTTGTCCAGAATGTGACAATCCTCTCCCTTTCTCTCTCTTAATTTTCCTTTTTGGAAAAGTTCGTCAAAAGATAATTTAATTAAGTTTAGACAAGAGGAGATCTTTCCCCTTTCTCTTGACGGAATGTTTTGCCTATCACAATCCGGCATACCCCGATCAGTATAATCCATGTTTTTATTACATCGATAAATTTGTGAAGAAGAACTGATTCGCTCAATTTATACCAGATTAAACCAAAATTTAATCGGGATTGTGAATGAAATATTTGTTGCCAAACAATTCGTTTAACTTGTAACCCATCAAACGTGTATCACAACTGTGATCCATAATTTCAAATTTCAAGTTCTAACAAAATGGAGAACTTTTATAATGATGTAATGTCAATATACGATCATGCAATAATGTCATGATGCAAGTGACCTACTTTGTGGTACAACATCAAAGCAAATCAAACCTCAGAAAGTGAGATTGGAACAATGGCAAATGAAATAATGCACATTGTCAAATCGTGCATAACAAGCTTGCATCCAACTTTGCTAGGAAAGCATGCTCAAATTGAACTGCATACTTCTAGAATGTTTTAAACCACGATGATCAAATCAGAATTGGACGAGTACTCTCGATTGTGCTAGCCATTTGGTGTTGCTCTATTGCAGAGTTTGATGCCTTTGTTGGTAACTTGGTAATTGTTGTTGAGTATTATTTGGTGCGAACGATGTAGTCATGCATTTGGTCGTACGCTCACGTGCACTAGTAGTATGGTAAGTTCCACGAGGACGTTTGTTTTCGGTCACTCGAAACTTAATGATAGCTAAGTTTCGTTTGTCTTTTTGTCCCTGCCTCCTTCAGTTTGGGTTCGCTTTGTAGCTAAGACTACGGTTTGTAGTACATTGACTTAAACAACTTACTTCTTCTACATCCCGTATCTTGTCTAGTACATTGACTTAAATAATTTACTTTTTCTACCTCTCGTATCGTGTCTGATGAGACGCGCTTAATACGAATCCCACTATTCATCGACCCGAAGAAGAAAAGCAAAGCAGAAATGGGAAGGGGGAAAGTATTCAAACATTTTGACTACCCAAAAGCAAGAAAGAAAATGCCAAAGCACAAAGGGGCCCTTGGCCTTGTGGGAGGGAAGTGTGTAAAGGAGAAGAAAAAAAGGGTGGAGGGGTAGTAAAATAGCTTGCTTATTAGATTTGCCAATTTCCCCCATTTGATTGCCATCCTTACACACAAACTTTCAATCTTGGATTTGGATCAGATGCCACTAGACTAACACCACACCTCCATTATGTAATGGGTGGGTGATTGAGAAAGAGAGAATAGATGGATAGTGAGTGAGTGCCCTTCAGCTCCCAAAGATTGACAAAATTTTGAAAAGGATGGGTTTGAGATAGTGCCCTCTCTAGTCTCTACTACCACTCCCTCCCTGCCCCATAAACCCTACCACCTTTTCTGTCACTTCCCCAAACCCTTTTATTAAGTAGCCCCCACACACATGGCATTGGCACTTTTCCCACATTACCTCCATTCCCTACTGCACTGCCCTACCCAACCCAACCCAACCCAGCTAAGGACACCAAAAGGGAAGAAAAAAAGAGGCCACTCTGCACGGACTGATTCCGTCCCATCGTGTTGATTCAGATCGGAAGGAATCAGCCCCCGCAAACCTCCTCACTATCTTCATGATAGCCTGAAATTAGTCCCTCAAGACGATGCAGTATGATAATCCAACTGTATCAGTTAAGCTTGTTGGTTCAATTAACCAAACCTAAACCACTGATTGATTGCAATTGAATTAGGTTATCTTCCTAAAACCGAACCCATTAAGAACTCACCAATTTTTGGTTAACTGATAAACCCGTAACAGGTTCGATTAGAACAAACCATAAATCAAACTTCCTGCACCCCCAATCAAAAACCGGAATCCCCTTCACCTCCCGCCCAATATTTTCGATTTCCTATCTGTTGCTTGGTTTAAACTTTAAACAAGAAACCGATACGGTATGAACCAATTTGGGATAATAAAAAACGAAACTGATAACGTCCTTATAGGTTCGGTTTTGATTTAAACCGAAACCGATATCCCCGCCTTAGTATCAGCCCGTGTATACCACACACCCACTATCTACCATACCCTAAAGCCACGCCCTTTCTTCTTCTCCTCCTCTTGTGAAAAGCGAGATGTTGCTTTCACACCCTCTTTTGCTGACCCAATTCACACACAATAATAATAGACATGTGGCCGTGTAGAGCAGGTCCTTGTCACGAACCCTAAACTCATATGCTCCCAAGTCGATCCCGACAAACTCAAACATCCTTTTCAACTGTTCATTTACTGAGACTGAGACCACCCTAATGAATGAATCCAACTGTACCCTTGTGTCGGCAAAAACAGGCAATCAAACAAACATCCAGATATTTATGAAAAGCCAGCTACTTTTCGATTTAGCAGCATGTAATTAGGAGCCTTTTCCTGCTAATGATATGCATAATATATCCATTTTGCAAGTATATTCCCATCATAGACATGAAAAAAACGGGGGAAAAGGGGACAGGGTGTCCTAATCCTGTGTACTTAGTTACAGACTTACAGTAACAACATCTCAATAGACTTAAAGAAGATCAGGCATTCTCTTACTCATGGCCTCTACTACTACATACGTGACAGTGGCGGCGCCTAGATATTACACTGCATGGAGAGGATTAACCCATTCTTCTAAGCAGTTAAGAGAAGAAGAAAAAAAGAGAACTTACTACACATGGACTTCTTCTTCTTGGTTCTTTGATCTAGTATTCCAAAGAACCCACAGATTTTATACCAGTGGTCAAGTTCCTCGCGTCCTGCCGGCTTGCAAACTCGTCGCAGCTTCCATTCGCGAGCCTCTTCTGAGCTGAAACCGAGCTCTGTAGCTCCAGCCCTTGTTTGCCCATTTGCTGCACTTCCTGTGGTGACAGTATCTTTATGCACCACACATTGTTCACAAATTCCCTGTTCATTTGGCGAAAGAAGAAGTTTACATGTATGATTTCGGTATGTAATGGGAAGCAAACAATACTCAAGGTGATGAAAGAAGCACTCACGGCCAGGGGTCGTCGCCAAGAAGAAGCACATCGTTCTCCCGGTCAACAATTACAAGCTGCCAGCCTGATCTCAGGGGGTCCTCCAATTGTCCTTCGAGCCCAAACATCCGAGCCAGCTCGCCCCTCAACTCGTCGTAGCCGCTGAATTTGGAGATATCCAGTGACCTACCAAAGGACCCCGACTTGTATACCTAGCAGCAAAAATTTCCCCATTGGTGTTCAAATTTGGGGTTGCAGAAACTCATCATGCATAAAGGGAATTCCAAGAGTAGCATCATCTGCATATTATAATACTCTTACCTTAACAAAGTTTGTATCACTTGATGAGTTGTTAACTTGGCCCAAACTCTCCGATGACTGCATGAAGCCCGACTCATCAACACCACAACTCGATTGGGCCGCCATTGCAGAATGATTAAGCGAGAAATCTGATGTTCCCATGTTGGTCATGTAGTTAGATGAGAAGTGCAAGCCAGCACTGTGATCACCACCATCACTGCCAATTACTCCCCTAAGGCTAGACATTCCATTGGCAGCCATCAAAAGTGATGAGGGCTCAATATTCACACCGAACAAAAGATGGCTCTGTGGATCGCTGCCACCTTCTGCGTCCACTGCAGAGCACTCCTTCCCTGGGAATGGAGGCAATGAAACAGCATTCTGGGAGAATTGATGAGCTTCGGACGAAACCAGAGGTTCAATGGCAGCTCTCTTGGACGGCGGCCAATCAGAAGGAGAATTCATCAAGGGACTGGTTCGAGACAGGTTGAGTAGATGGGATGATGATTCATCTTGGGGAAATGAGCCAAGGAGACTGTGTAATGGAGAGACAGCAACAGGGCCTGACACGTGGTTCCCACTAGAATCGGAGAAGCTCTGCTGCTGCTGCTGCTGCTGACACAGTGAGGACATGGGCTGGGATGGTGGTGACTGGTATTGAGATGTTGCTGCAGGCCGAAACTGAGGCCCATTATGACCCGCATTTGGAATCTGCTGATTATCAACCTGTATTTGTTGCTGTGGCCTTTGCTGCTGCTGCTGTTGACTACTGTTGAATGACTGTTGATGCTGCAATTGTTGCTGAATGAAGTTTGACTGACTTTGAACCTGAGCCTGAGAGATGGCATGGAGTTGGTTCTCTTGGAGAAGAGTCTGTCCAGGCTGAGACTGCTGCTGCATCTGAGGCTGTTGCATCAAAGACGATGGGGTCCTACCAGCTGGAAGATTGTCATGTTGCTGAAATTGCAGGAGGGAAGCAGTTGGTGATTTCAGAGAATCCACGGCTCTCATCTCCTGAAGAGCTGCAGCAGCCATGGCTTGGTAAACATCGGATTGAAGCCCAAGCATGGAAGAGGCGTCGAGCCTTGGTTGCATCATCCATGGTGCAACACCACCCATTCCAGGGAAGTTCATTCCTTGAAGTCCACGGTCTCCATCTCCTCGAAACCACATGAGAGGAGAGTTCATTCCCAGATCCTCATCTTTGATTCCTGAATTTCAATATGAGAGAGTTACAAAAGGGCACTTGAAAAGGAACACCAACCTTTATGGGAAAAATAAATAATACAGAAGATCACCATTGAAAGAAGGAAAGCCAGGTGGCCATGGACGTTTAAGCCTCAAGGGAAATGGGGAAGGGTACATTGGGAATGTTGTCAGTGGTTCAATCTCCCAAAGAGATACTCTTGGCTGCCTCTCTCCAGCAGTCGATTCATCCCAGCCAACCTGCATCAGTTTTTGGGGGATTACTACTAGTACTTACAATAGTTCTAAGAGATACATTCAGCAAGCAACACAGTCATATGTAATGATCTCAATTTACCTTGACTGAGCGCCAATAGGAATTTGGCCATTTAGCAGAATCTAAATCACTTATGCCAGTTATTGTACCCATGTAGCTGGACAGACAATCATAGATGTTAGACTAAGAGCAATGCTTTTCATGGCAAGAAATTCATTCAAACAGAAACCAGAAGAGAGTTGGAGATAGACAGTGGAATTGGCTAAGAAGCGCAGAATGAAAAAAAACATAGCTTGTAGCACCTACCGGCGGACACTTGATTCTTCAGTTTCAAAAAGCATCCGAAAGCGCATGCCAACAGACACCCGAGTATGATAGACTGCTTTGACATACTTCGCCAGTGGAATGACAAATTCAGATGGACAGGCCCTGCACGCAAGGGAGATGAAAAAGTTTAAAGAGAATACTATATAATTGGCTCTTGCATTTGAGTTAGAAAAGATTGTACCTTGGATTGTAGAATATAGTGAAACGACTATTGGTTGCAGCTGCATGGGCAGCTGCAGCAAGAAGTCCCAGATGCATGCTATCACTCGATAAGACCGATGAAGGCATCACGGTTTGAGGGCGGCTAGCACGTCGAATGCCAAGGAGTAACTGATTTCTTTCGTTCCTGATTGGAAGAGGGGAAAAAGAAATATCTTGGATAAATGAATGTGAAAAAAGTTGCATTGGAATAACATAGATAAATGAATATATGAATAGAAATTCAAGAAAACCAGTATACCAGATGAAAAGAACCGAGTCGCCTGCAACAAGTCTTTTGGCACTGACAAACACACTCCACCCTGTTGTAAGCAGATGCCGCTTAGGCTGGCCTGAAATGACAGAGCAGTTCATAATTAATATTCCTTAACAGAATAACACACATTCTAAAGTTAACCCAACCTATGTTTTTAAGCCATAAAAAACTCACCGCGAAAGATATGCCTGAATTTCCACTCGTTATCATGCAGATCCCTAGCAATTAACTCCTGGCACGGAGGTTGCATGGAAAAGTCCTGAAATTTCAGAATCATTGGTTAAAGGGTGACCTTACTCAAGCTCAAGCTTCAGAAAATTATACAGGTATATTGTCGGTAAATTTGCGATAATAATCATATTATTACCAAAGGAGGGAACACTTTTTCAGCTGCTCGACGAGGAACGGAGAAGCCTCCATGAGTACTAGTGTCACTGGCAGTCAAAGTCTTGCAAAAATAATTGGTTGGTTGTTTGCTAGGGGCACCCAACTCTGCTGGCAGGTAGATATCCTTTTGTTCTTGCTGCAAAACACAATGTCAAGTAAAACATCCTTGTTGTCAAATCTTCTACAAGCAATGTAGACTAGCACAAATCAAAACACCATCGGAACGCTATATACATACCGGACTCAGTGGCTGCAATGTCATCTGTGCATAAACTTCATCTGTCTCGATATCTGCCTAAAATAAAGGAAAGTTTTCGACCTTTAAGCAACAAGCCAATAGAGAAGTGTAGAAGTACATAATTGAGCTTAAACCATTTGAGCCGTACATGCATTGTCACATTGTGAAGCTGGCAAATAAGCTGTGGAGGCAAGCTTGGATAATTAGGGATCTGAGCATCAACTTCCCTGTTGGTTGATATAGCAACCTATGTAGCAGAACAAATCCAAATAAGAAAACATATACAGACACTTACCACTTAAGCCAGATCAATTACAGTTAGAATTAACTTGCCTGTTCACTGTGACCTTGAGGGAAGTAGACAACCCGGCTTCCCACAGCAGGGAGCGAAACAAGAGGACCGGCACAAGCATGCCAAAGTTCAGAATTCAGAACCCTCTTCTCACCTGCAGAAAAACCATTTCCATAGCCATCTTTAAAACCCTTTGAAGAACAACTGCTGCCAAGATCATAAAGATATCTGTACCAATTTGGAAACTCTGAATGGCCTTAAAGAATCAATCTAATGCCACAATCTATCCTCCAGCTAAACTTCATGTCAAGATTTCGCCTTTACAGTAAAAACGGGGTGCCAGACACAAAATTGTAAAGCTTCTAGTTGCTGAATAGCTATGGAAATCGACAAGTGAAGGTGGAGGAGACGAACAAAAAAAAAAACAAAAACCTCAAACAAGTAGAAAACAAGCTAAGGAGGCGTACCTTCTTGGTTGTGTTGGGGACTAAAACCAGCTGAAGAAAGCCTCATGATTACAAACTGGATTCAACCCCTCACAAATAGTTTCAGAAGATCCAAACAAGGAAAAAACCCCACCACTACCAATCGAACATCAACCCACACACACAACTTTCACCTTCTTCTTCATCTTCCCAGAATACAGCACAACCTTCATACCCTCTTCTTCTCTATTCCGCCCTTCCTTGCCTTTTCAACAAGCCAACTCCCCCCAAAACTGGCAAGAATCAATCAAGCGATTTTATCCCACGAAAAGAGAACAAAAGCCAACACTACTGTATCCACCACTATGCAGCCCCTCATTTGGAAGACAAATCCCACAAGAAAACCCCACCTTTTCCTCCCCTTTTTTTCCTTATTGTTCTGCTTGAGTGCTCGTTTCAACCGAAGCCGGTTTTACTACAGAAGACCACCGATTTCACCTTCATCCGCAGCCAATCTTGCCCAAACCCTTATTACTCCCCCACAGCAACTTCTACTCTATTGCAATGATTGACCACCAGGAAGAGAAATGAAAGAGAACACTCAAAACCCCAACAATAAATCTTTCAAGAGTTGGACCCCCACATTTCCTCAACTCCAAAAGCACCACACAACTTTGTCAGATGATGTTCCTGCCTCCCTCAACACCCTGCAGCAAACCTCAGATTGCAATAGTTGCCCGGATCTCGCCACAGAAACACCCACCACCTGGTTGCTGCTGGATTGAAATTGAGCTTCAGAAGAAACCCAGATCTCGCCGTACGATTTTGGTAAACAACTTGCCAAGGAAAGAAAGAGGGAAGGAAAGAGAGAAGCTCCCCTGTTTTTCTTTTTCTTCTTTTTCTTTTATGGGTATTGGGGGCTTCTCAACAGAGAGTACAGAGCATTTTCAAAGGAGCAGAATTTGGAGACCGCAACTTGTACATGCAAAGCAGGAGCAGACTAGGAGGAGAAGCAGCAGCAGCTACATATACATATATGAATATACATATAAAATAGATATATGGAGTTTGATTAAAGTATTTATTAATGGAAAATAGATCTTACTTGCTTCCTTCCATATCTAAAGATGTATGGCAAGCTGCTACTATACGTGTGCGTAGATAAACGCAATACACAATGATCGAAGGGAGAGGGGAAGGGAAAACAAAAGGGAAAAGAAAAGGACTTTCCTCCTTCTTCTGCTTCTACGGTCCCCTTTCTCCTTTTGTTTTCAGATTAGGTGACTGGGTTATGTTTTGTTTCCGATAAAGGAAACTAGAGCAGAGGAAAGACCAGGCCTTTGGGGGGGTTTTTTTTGGGCTTTTTGGGGTTTAAGGTTAAAAACCATTGATGAGCTCTGAGCAGCTTCTTCAGCAGCTGATTTTAATTCTCTACTGCTGCTGCCGTCAGTTCATATCCGAACGGAGAAAGCAGAAGAACATGCAGAGAAAGCCCAAGAAGAATAATAATGTAAGAAAGAGTAGGAGGAAGGACTAGCTACTAGTTAACGCGAGAGGGAAAGAAATGGAGGAACTGGCAGTCCGTGTTTTGTACGAACGGAGAAAATGAGAGAGAGGTAAGAGGGAAAAGAGAGAGAGAGAGAGAGTAAAGTGGAGTAATGTGTCTTCGTGTCTGTCAGATTTTTCTCCCTTTTTTCTAAGTTTGGGAGGAAGCGAGAGACGGAGAGGGGAAAGGGGTTGTTTACTGTTATTTGTGTAAAATTTCGTCTTCGCCATTGTTATTGTTGTTTGGTTTTTACCTTTTTACGGGATTTTCCTTTCACAGTTATTTCATTTCGTTCGATGGGTGTTTGGTTTTCTAAAGTTTTTTTCATTCCAACTTTTGGGCCATTACATTGTTGTCTGGCTCATCTTTTGCTATTCTACTCTTTCTCGTTGCAAAGCATTAGGGTTTGATTCCTTTTTTCTATCCTTAACTACACAAACCTGTCCTCAGACTTGTATTGGTGGAGGAGAATCGCCTCCGTGAAGTTGAAATCGCTAGCAATTGCGATGGTCTTTAGTCTTTACAACGGTGAATTTGTTTCTAAGTTTTGTACGCATCACTTATGAAATATAAACGTTGGTCATGCTCAAAGTTAGTTAGCGTAACTACAAAGAGAGATTAGTGACTAAAGCGAAGTTGTTAGGATTGGTCTACTTACTACTTAGTGCTATGGTGGTTATGCAAGGAAGAAACTTGAGGAAACAAGGCCAAAGGTAGGCATGGCAATGGGTACATAAAAGTGGGTTCACCCACACAACCTCGATGAACCCGTGAGTAAACTCGCTAGTATCAGATACCAGTCATGGATGGGGAAACCCAAAATATGCATATGGTAGCATAGATGGGCCAGGTTCGAATATTACACTATCTGCTCCGATCCCATTTAGTATGGCATATGATGATGTTCCAATTTCTAAAATCCGGGATGGATTTCACTCAAAATCTCTCATTTTCTCTCGCTTCGCATGCAACAGCTAGCAACCCAACCCAACAAACTTTCTCCTTGTAGACGTTGTGTCGCCTCCATTGAACCTGGGGAAGAAAAGATTATGCACACAATATTTTGACCTTTTTCATCTCCCAGCTTTCTATCGAACTATGTTTTTCTTCTTTATGCACAATACTACCTAACTCTGTACTATGCAATAAGAACATCAGAGGCCGCAAAGAGAGTGTGTTGATAGGCCCTCTGGAACAACGGTTTCAAATATTAGGGCGCTTCCAACTAAGCGTGTTAGTTAATTGATCCCATATTACAGGTTGTATTTATGTGGTGTAAGATTATTTGATTATAAGTATGATGATGCATTTAATTATATTAATATATATTGATGCTAATTATTAGTCAAGATTCTCGTGTATATATAGATATGAGGCACATACGATGGTTGTTAAGGTCCCGCTTGTGTGTCGAAAACATATTTATGTTAAATAATGACACAAGAAAGACTTCATGAATTAGCTATGAGTATGACAACAATTGAAATAATATCGTGAAGAATACGAAAATCAGAGAGCTAATATATAATTTTATATTACACCATGCTAGAAATATATTACATTTTAAATAACGATGCTATAGCCATCCTCATTTTATTATATCTAAAATCCAACTTGAACTATATCTCAATTTTGGAACAGGCATCCACTATTAATTACACGAAGAGCATCCAATTAGTTTGTATTTGTAATGACTTCTAATTAGCACGCGCGTGGAGCTCGATCAGCTGGAACATTTCCACTTTCCAGCCATAGTGGATTAACATTCATATATTATCCTAATTATATGATTAGGTCTTTTTATTATTTTAAAACTATATATAAAGTTACCAAATACGTGCACGTCATTAACTGTAGTAATTAAGAAACCTAATAATAATAAGGTCAATTATATTACCCGTGACAATAAACAATTGCATGCACCGCCAAAAAAGTTAAAAGATTCGCTCCTAAATTCCTGCCCATAATATATAATATAATTCCACGTTAATTAGGACGTCGTTGAACACTACGCTATCTTGTGATGACTACCCCCTAATGTTGACGTGCCCAACCCTAAAAAAAAAAAATCTCATACCAATCTAAGATTTTCTCCATATTTATTGCTTTTTTAATCAACAATTAGGCACACTAATAATCAATCAATTGTGGGCATGGGGGGAATTAGGGATATTTGTTTGTCTTGACTATTGATGTTCCAACAAAATACGACACTTGACTTGAGAGAGGGAGAATAATTGATGGTTGAATTAAGAGTGGAGCCCATGACCACGATCTGATCTGATCTGATCGATCTTTGGTTAATTAATTGTGTTGGTTTGTTTATGGAATTGATGATGGTGATGATAGTCATTAAGGGACAAGCGCCTGGTGCCCACTAATCATGATTAATGATAATCAGGGGAAACAACACATACAACAAGAGGGAGAGAGAGAGAGAGAGAGAGTGAGGGAGAGAATAAGGCATGCAGAAGAAGAGATTAGAGAAGAGGCTTCAAGCCGTTTAAAGTAGGGTTTGGGGGCATGCTGTGTTTTAGACAGACACAAAACGTGGGATGGAAACAAATTGGGTTGACCTTACATTGCTTGTTTTGTAATAATTTCCTATTCTTTTCCCCCCTTCATTTGGATGATGTATTACAATGAAATTTAAGACAAAATGCGTCTAAAGTCTAAACACAATTTTAAGCAATCGTCTCATTTGAAAAGAAGGAGATAGGTAGCTCTAATGTGGGGGTTTGAATTGGAGCATAAATAATTGGACGTTCTCGAGTCTCGGCCAACTTTCTTCCACTATCTCTGTGTGAGATATTCGATAATGACTGGGCATTCAATGAAGAATTGGACATTTATCAATAACAAATGCTTAGCACAGAAACATGAAGTACCATTCATTACAGGGCACGACAAACATTACTTAAAAGCCTTTGTTTTTGCTCATCACCCTTTTGATGATGGGCATATGTTTTAGTTCATAATGTTTCGTTTTAGTTGGGCTGCAAACGTGAAAATGTTTAGTTAATTGAGATGTTATATCCAAATGTTTCATTTTCAAAATGCTCCAATATCCAAACAACCCATATGTTTCTCAAATATGGATTTCATTTTTCCCCTTTAATTGATGGTAAACAATGAAACAAGGGGCAACAACTCCTCCATAGTCATGCACGATCTAATAAGTTGAAACGTTATATGGGCTCTTTAAAAATGGAGTGGACAAAGAGATAAATGATCCTGATAGGCAAAGTAATCCGCTAAAAAAGTTAGCCTCTCCAATTATGTGCAATAAAAGACGAATCTCACGGTCCAAAATTAATATGTAACAAACAATGAAACTTTAGATGACAACCGGGTATATGTTCGACTATCGAATTAGGAAGAATACTATAATAGAGCATGTCTAAAAGAAATGTAGTTTTGGTGTAGCAGATGCATCAAAGAACAAGGGTAAAAAAGAAGACAACCCTAAAATTCCTTGTCCCTCCTTTTGTCTTGCTTTCTTTCTGCTGGTGGTTTGTTATTGTTGTTGTTTTGATGACCTTGTTTAAGGTGGCAAAACAGTTGCTCTGTCTGCGACAAGCCCACTAAATAGAGTGCAAAGGGAAGCAAACAGAACCGAGGAAAAGGAATTAAATAAACAAACGCATTATTAACAAAGAAATGATTGTTTTTTGTAACAAAAATTGTGTTGATTAAATTAGCTTGACCCACACTCTTAATCATCTACTTAATCTGGTCTCCCTGAGGTATGCGAAGCCTGTCTCTTGTTCCCTACTACTCTTTCTTCACTCACAACGATCAAACCCTTGCTAACATCTTAAACTAATTTTAACTTTTTCCGAGTCCTGAAGGGATGTATTTTCAACCTGGTCCAGCTGATTTGATCTAATTTGGAGTGGGTAATGGAGCAAAATAGAGCACTTAGAGTTAGAGGGATTGATGAGCACTCAATAGTTTAGGTCAATAACGATTTTGCATAACAAGTTACCACGCAATCTAGACGATCTGGTAGGTTCATATACTATCTTGCAAACTAAGTAGCTTGTCTATAATAATCCAATGACTCCCCTTATTAATGTGATGTTATCAAGATATTTTTCAAGTTACATCTAGTTAAACCACAACCCACAAGAAGTCGCCATGCTCCTTTGAGACAATCCTCCAATCCAAAGAGGATGAGCAAGTTCAAATGAATGATCAAACGCTCTAAGTACATAGTTTTCATGGTCAAGATGGAGGACAAATACTGAATGACGCTCATGTCTATACCTAAGGTCAAAAGCTCAAGAAACTTTGCATATACATAATTGGTGATATGATCAATGTCACGCTCTTGTTGTGATAGTATATATGCCAGGATGGGTAATATCCATGAGTTAGACCATCAATTGCTTGACACAATTTTTTTACAATTTAACTAGAACAATTTGATTGATATGAGGCTCACCACAATCGCGATGGTGGTCGTGTTGGTTTTCACAGTCGCTAACATTATTGTGACGTCAATCGTGACTTTCTCTCTAAATGAACCGAAGAAAATTCATAAAAAAATTATTACTTTCATTTATCTGTTTTTTCCCCCTTTGGTCTTTGGAGTCTTTTCTACTACAGTCACTCCAGTCTCCAAAGATATGATTCAACTCATGCCTTAAACACAATAAGTTGTGGACTTGTGTGGTTGGTGTGCTTTTAGTCGCCCTTTTCATAATCAAGTACAACATCATCCTTGCAGTCACATGTTAGGACTGCAAAATGTTTGATACCTCTTTCTTTGCTCATCTCATTTGTTAGTCGAGTAACCGACATCGTCCTAAACCTTTAACCACGTTGGTCACATTTTACATATGTTCGTTGAGTCAATCAATTATATCCCCCCTCCCACCCATATCGTTTTTCAATTCTAATAAACTTCTCATGCATTGAATCTTACGTAATATTTTAGGAGGCGAACGTCTCATGTTACGTATTAAGTATTAACACATTCGGTCATTGCTATCCACCCACTTCTAAAAGAAAACTTACAAGATCCTTTCCCTATGAGTAGGCAGAATTTGAGCCATCAAACGTGGCTGTGCCTGGACTGGAGGATTCGTTCTTGCTAGCCCTCTCTCCACCTCTCTTCAGTGATCTAATCTACACAGATTCTAAAATCCCTTCAG